AAGAGTTAGATGCTCAACTGACTGAGCCACCCAGACGGCCTGACACTTATTTTTATTTCTAACATTCTTACTAGATCTTTCTTTCTCTTTTCTCCTCTATTTTCCTTTTACCAACCATACTCTCCGTTTCTTTCATTTTCCTCCCTTCCCTTGCCATTTTCTTGCTCATTTCCTCCCATTCGTATTTGTGCCTTGACTCTGCCAGCAATCTCAGAGGCTGCAGCTCAGCCAACCAGACATTCTCACATCTGAACAGTCTGGTGGTGCACTCAGAAAGGCAGAAAGCTTTTCTGTGTCTGAGGTTGTTTCCACTGCTGCAAGATCATTGCCCCCTGATAACCAGAGTGGAACTTGGGAGGCGGTACCTCAGCTATCACCTGTATTGTGGTTATAAGACTCACTGCTATCCTCTCCTCTTGCTGCATTAAATAGAGTATTTATCTATCTATATCTATATCTATATCTATATCTATATCTATATCTATCTATACAAAAGTTAACAGCCCAGCAGAAGTTGCCTCATCAAGAATTTTGTTGTCATTCTGGGTCATTTAGGTTGATGCATTGTTAGAAACACTCACTAAAAGTCAGCCAGAAAAGTCAGCACAGTGTCCTCTGTGAGACTGTACTTTGACTCCCACCAATAGGAATATCTACTTCCACTTGTCAGCTACCACATTTTTATGGAATCCCTACCACATGCAGGAATTCAGGATGCAGCGGGTGGCAAGCTGGAAATGATCTCTTCCCTTGTGAAGCTGACAGTCCAGCAGGAACAGGAATGACACACGTTGCCTAAGTGTAATGAGTGCCAGGAGGAATTGTTAGCTGAGCAAATTCAGGGAAACTCACCTAATACCAGGACCTTGAATTAGCAGAGAGAGACAATGAGCTCAGGACAAGATGGTTGCATTTTTTACCCGAGCATATCTGCAGGATGTGACACGACCATGGCTCCTCCCCATGTCTCCTGGTCCCTTCCTGCAGAGTTGTTCCAGGGGCACTAGGATAGGTATGACACATCAGGACAGGGGAAAGGAGCCATGTGAATTTTGCAGTGTGTAGCTTACTCAGCTATCTCACATTACCCATTGTTTGTACCTATTAAGATGGTTATTCAGGTTGTAATATTCATAAAACTCACAAGTTTAAAAGGAATGCCCTGTGAAGTTGGCCTTTTTAATGAGATCCCACCATACATAAATTATTGAGTTCTTAGTAAATAAAACGCAAGGCTGTGATGGAACTTGCCGTGTGCACATGTCCTCACAGCCATCCTGTAACGAGATGTCCAGGAAAAGAAAGGGCCGCCAAGTACAAAGCCAGATACACACTTACTGTTGTCCTCAGCAACACGACATCGGCCTCTTGCAAGGAACACGGGACGCAGTTTGCCCACACGTGCCAAGCAGGTCTCCAGTAAAACACCAAGGGGAGGATCCCAAATGAGAAGATGGATCCAGCAAGACAGAGGGTTTTCCGGCAGCCTTGAGTCCGGTAGCCAAATAGCTCCTGGGGAAGAACCAAAGTGAGCCCAAATATTGGTTACGCACAATAAACAGCAAATGAACCAATTGGGATTTTGGTATAAAACTGGGGCAGAGACTGAAGTAGTTGAGGAGAGACTGAGAACATGGAGAAGGATCCCTGACAAAGGAACACAGGATCACAAGCCTCCAGGAAGTCGCCATCAAACTGTGAAATTCCCTTTCTATAATTTGAGCACCTGACTACCCTGTGTCACGCACAATGCTAGATGATATGTTATCTTGTTTAAGTCTTGCCAGCAGCCCCTGAATGGGATAAGATTACCCTCATTCATAAATGATGAGGCTGAACTCAGAAAGACCTGGCCAAGGCCACCGAGCTAGGAAGTTCTGCTTCCAAGATTCAAACCCAGGTCTTATCCACAGCCTTGACAGGCATGACCATGAGCCTTGTGACAGGAGGACCAGATGACTGCAGCAACAGATGATTCCCTTGGCTGGGACCAGCAACTCCATGGGCAGGACAGAAACGAGCCTTGAGTATAGTGTTGGGATGTGATCAAAGTGTTTGACCCACAAGAGGAGGAATAACTAAGTGTCAAGTGGCTGTCAGGTGTTTGGGGTGGAGCTGTGCATTACCACCCTCCTCTCTTATTCAGTAGCAAAAAGAATTTTAGAGAGTTGGGGAAAATCCATAGAAACAACATGGGTTATTGAGCTCTTGCCCCTTGGGAGGGGATATGAGGCCCCGGATGATACAAATATGAACAAGAGTCTTATACCTCTAAAAAAGTTATAATCTGGACAAACTTCCTCCTTTCAAGTAGAGCCTGGGACAGAATGGAAAACCAACCATCTGAAGTTTATGGCTTCAGTCCCACAGTTACATCACACAAAGTCATAGGTATACTTTGTGCTGATTATCATGGCCAAAAGTGTTGAGCATCTTGGTTAGCAGCACATTCTCTGGACCAAGGCACGTTGGATTCAAAACCTAACTCTGCCACTTACTCGGTGTGACCTTGAGCAAGTTATTTAACCTCTGTGTTCCTCAGTTTGCCATCCGTAAGATGGGGGCGGTGATCATACCCACTTCCCAGGGCTGTGGTGAAAATTAAATGGGTTACTAGGGGTAAGTGCTTATGTAAGCATTTACCGCTGCTGCTGCTTATGCTGCTGCTGCTGCTGCTACCATCTGACCATCTGCCCAGAAGTAGACCCGAAATTCTACCCCTTAGTCTATTGGCATTTAGATCTAAGGATTCCTAGTGTCAATGGCTCTGCCCCTGCTCGGATTGCCTGTTAGGATAACAAGGATGCTGGAACTTGCAACTTTAAATCAGCCATCTTCTCTGACTCACCTGATAGAGATTGCATTCTCAGAAAAGATTGCATTATCAGATCGTTGGCTGAAAGCTGCTTTCATGTGTAATTTTCGGGTGCCTTCCTCTTATTAGCAAGCAGCGAATGCAGGTGCTGGCTGACTGCCTTAGGTATTGTCCACATTTGGCATGCCTTTGATGAAACATTCACATTAACTCAGAAACATAAGCTCTTGGCTGATTTTGCAAACTAGAATGTCTATCTTGATATGAATCCTCTTTTGTCCCAAACTCCAGCTTTTGCTCTCCAACTGCCAAGTCTGGAATCGTTCTGTCCCCTCATGATTCCTGAAACAATGCTTCTTTGAGCTCACACTGAGCAGGATCCCAATCCTAAATCCCATACCTGTCCTAAGTCCATCCCATCTAATTTTCCCATGTACTTTTTTATGTTCCTATACTTTGGAATAGGTCAACTTTCTACCCAATGACCCAGAAATTGTATCATATTTTATGAAGGCTATATTTAAAAGCTTCTTTATATTGTCAGTCAATTGAGCTACCCCCTCCATGTAATATGTCTGAGTTATGGCAATTCTAGAAGCACAAATCTCCCTGTTAGCATGCATTCTTTTACAGGCTATGCAATGAGAGCCCTCTATAGTTTCCAAAGTAAATTCATGTTCATTATCAAAATAATGTAAGCAGGAATTATTATCTTCAATTTCCAGCTAAGAAAACTGAAGTTTAAAGTTATATGTAATAGATATTATTAGCAACTATTATTGGTAACAATGGCAGCAGCTAATATTTTCTGAGTACTTCAAAGTCCATCACAAAGCACTTTCCACCTACTCTCCCATTTAGTTGAAAAAGAAGACAAAATAAGTTTCTCAAAGCGGTAAAGTTCATCAGTAACTCAAAACTAGACCTCCAGTCTAGACCTTTGCAGCATGGGAGGATAATGTAAGTTGGTCATTGCCATTCTAAGGACCTTTTTCACTCTGTCTTGAATTCCAGTTCAATTTAAATAAATAATTTTTAAGGGTCCACCAAAGAGCAGACATGTGCTACACACAGAGATGAATAAGACAATGACTCTACGGGCGCCTGGGTGGCTCAGTCAGTTAAGCAACTGGCTTCGGCTCAGGTCATGATCTCACAGTTCGTGGGTTCGAGCCCCACATCGGGCTCTGTGCTGACAGCTCAGAGCCTGGAGCCTGCTTCGGATTCTGTGTCTCCCTCTCTCTCTGCCCCTCCCCCACTTGTGCTCTGTCTCTCTCTCTCAAAAATAAAATGTAAAAAAAAAAATGTAAAAAAAAAAAAAAGACAATGATTCTACTACCAAGGAGGTCATTAGCTTAATGGGAAGAGAGTCACATAAATGATAAGAACAAACAAGGTTAGAGCAATAAAAGGGTTATATAGAGGGATAACTATATAAATTGTCCTCTGAATTGGGTGCTATTAATAAGAACACTGGAACAGCAGAACAGAAGTAGACAGTCAGGCCAGGTGAGTATCCCCTAGTTATACCAGAGTGTTGCTTTATTTTTGTTTATTTTTTTACTTGAGAGAGAGAGCGTGCAAGCAGGAAAAAGTGGTAGAGGGAGAGAGAGAAAGAGAGAGAGAGAGAGAGAGAGAGAATCCAAAGGAAGCTCCATACTATCAGCACAGAGCCCAATATGGGGTTCAATCCCATGACCCTGGAATCATGACATGAGCGGAAATCAGGAGTCGGATGCTCAACTGACTGAGCCACCCAGGTACCCCTAGAGCATTGCTTTAAAAGCTTACTTGCTCTCAGTTCTGTGGACACTACAAGATCAGTTCATAGCTCATGGCCAATAATCCATTGGTAGTAGAAAGGCTGGAATAATGTGGACAAGGAGTGTTCAATTATTGCTTACTAAAGTGAATTGAGAGGTGGGAGGGAGGGGAGGGTGGGTGACGGGTATTGAGGAGGGCACCTTTTGGGATGAGCACTGGGTGTTGTATGGAAACCAATTTGACAATAAATTCATATATTGAAAAAAAATAAAGTGAGTTGAATTGTACTGACTTGAGTTGTACTGACTGCAAATTACATTAAAGGGACATTAACAGATACTGGCTTAAAAAATGCAAAAATTAGCATGGTATTGTTTTTTATGATCCCGTAGCGGTTTATTTCCTATGCCATGGAGTGCCTTCCATGTCCCTGAAAATGCTTGAGGGAACCATCCCTGCCACTCTGCACTCCCCCCACCCTTACCTCCTACAAAGGGAATCAATCATCCAAAAAAAAAAAAAAAAAAAAAAAAAAAAAAGAATATTAAGAAAATGTCAAAAGACTATTACACTCATGGCAGTCAAGATGCATTATGAAATAGCACATTGTCTCTTTCTTCCTCTCCCTTTCTACCCACAGATTCTTCTGTTCTCTCTGTCCCTGAAGATCTAGGTCTTTTGCATTCCTACGGGCTTAAACTTTGGCTTCCAAGTGTCCAGATCTTCTTCCCTGCAGAACCCCTATACTCAAAAAGTCAAACTTATGCTCCCCAAAGCAATGATTTCAACTACCTCAGCCAACAGAACCCCTTAAAAATCTATAGACCTTGTCCCCAGAAAAATACACACAGATGCATATAAATAATCTTCTCCAAATAGATTCAGGGAGTTCCCACAGTCTGGATAAAACCTGACCTACAAGGATTATAAGGCTAAATCAAGACTGATCTTTCCAGAGGTTATACTCTGTACTTGTACTTAGGGTTTGACACTAGGTGAGCACTTAATGATTGTAGAGATGTGAAGACAATACTCCTGGAAATGCACACGAGAGGGTGATGACAGCAGGACATTGGCTGACTTCAAGAAGCCTTGTAGGGTAATGTCATCATCTGGGGGCTCACCAGGTCCTGAGAGTGGCTCTAAGCCCTCTAGTCCCAGAGACTGCTAGCAGAACACCTCTCTCCAGGAAGATTCAAGTTCACCACGTCCCAGAAATTGGTCGGAATGGGAGAATGAGATGTATGTGACAGTCACACGACGAGATGAATATGTGGGTAGGTATTAAGACTTTGTTCTCTTCCCAACACCACCATTTTCAGTGTGATTGTCCCGCCAGGGGAGCCGTATGCCAGCATAGTGCTTAAAACGGGCTAAGGACTCTTCTCTGACCATCTCCCATCCTGACTGACATGCCTTCTTTGAACATATTAATTAATTCAATCAAATTACACTCCAATCCCATTAGCCTGGGAGCCATTTATTCTCTTTAAGACAATTATGCATTTCTTTACTGGCTTCATTAAATATTTGAAAGTGTAAGTGATTTTTTTTATCTCCCTTAAGATAATCTTTTTCCCTTATTTCCAAATTTGGGATGTGAAGAGAATGTTTCACTGTAATTTTCATGCAACTACAACAAACTATGCTACATGAATGCAATTTACATCACTGCTTATCCCAACCACCAACCCTACCCTATTCCAGTTTTCACCTCAGTAGTTTCTTGCTTGACACCCTTTCATGCAGAAGAATGACTTCCCCAGGCTCCCCTAAGTTCATTTGACTTCTAGATTGAAGCGAGATGCTCTCAACCTGAATTGACCTAATCCGGAAATCTTAAACTGGAGGCTCAAGAAGAATGGCCTGTCGACAGGTTTCTCGCCAGCCTGGTAAGCATTTCTTAAAACTTTATGTTAGTCCCCCAGTCACTTTCACATAAAAATTCTGACTTCTATCTTTTCTTTAAAATAAATCAGAAATTGGGGCACCTGGGTGGCTCAGTCAGTTAAGTGACCAACTTCAGCTCAGGTCATGATCTCGCGGTCTGTGGGTTCAAACCCCGCATCAGGCTCTGTGCTGACAGCTCAGAGCGTGGAGCCTGCTTCAGATTCTGTGTCTCCCTCTCTCTCTGCCCCTCCCCTGCTCCTGTTCTTTCTTTCCTTCAAAAATAAACAAACATTAAAAAAAATTTTTTAATAAATCAGAAATTGTGACAGCACTGTACCCACATTGTACCCAGCACTGGAAGAATCAGCTGGAGAGCACCAAATAACCCAGGAACTATCCCAACACCATCCAGTGGGAGACAGGGTAAGGCACTGCAGTACATTCATACAATGGGATCTTACACAGCACTTCAGACAAATCAACTCCAGCAACACCCCACAGTATGGCTGACTCCCAGTGACATAACTAGGAAGTGACAAAAGTCAGTGCAAACAATTACATCAGTAAAAAGAACATTTTTAAAAAGTTAAAAGCAATGAAATTCAAATGTATTTTTGGGATACACTTAAATAAAAGAAAGTTACATCGAAAGGGAAGTGAGGAATTGATGAAGACATGATATAGGACAATGGTTACCCCTACTGAGGCAAGGTGGGGCCACATTGTGCAATGTAGACTATCATCAAGGTCCTAGCTTTGTTGGGGTGATGGGGTCATCATGTTATTATAAAGAACCGATGGAAAGGCTGAGATAACACAACACAACATAGACAAGTAATGAGAGGGTCTTGGACCATGGTCCCTGCCATGTTTTCTCCTTTCCCCAACACTGAGACCATGTGTCAGATTCACTTCTCATCTCCTACTGGGCCTGCTCATCTGAGCTACAACCTCACCCTGTAGGCCAGTGATTCTCAACTAGGAGTGATTCTGTCCCCAGGTGACATTTAGCAATAGCTGGAGAGCTTTTTGGTCACTCTCAACTGAGTGAGAGGTGCTACTGACATAGCTTCTGGGCCCAGAAATATTCCAGGAATATTGTTAAATATCCCACAACGCAGTTGACATCCTACAATGCAGAGGACACCGTTGCCCCTCAACCTCCACAGCAAAAACTTTTCTGGCCTCAAACAATGCTGAGGTTGATAAACCACATAGGTATTTGAGTTCCCCCCACCTAACTAACCTAAGCAGGTCTCTAGGTCCCAGTACCTACCATGTCCTCCTCAGCACCCAGAGGAGAGCCAGAGGATTTTGATACTGAAATCGATGGTAAAGAAGGATTTGCAATTCATGCCAAGTGGTCACTCGAGACCCATAATGGACTCAGCAGCCCATTTGCAGATGAGGAAACTGAGGTGCTAAGAGAGAATGCAAATTGCCCTTGTGGTCGGCACCTGCCACCCTCCCCAAACAGAGCCACTCTCCCGCCGCCTCATTCTGTGCTGCCATGCCAGCCACAGTCACAGAGCCCTTTCCTGCCTCAGGGTCTTCCCATGGCTGGCTACCCCTCATTGTTTAAACCTCCTTTAAGTGTGTCCGTCTCAGAGGGGCAGTAGCTAATGTCCTGTATAAGCCCCTGATCTCACCCACCCTTT